CTATCTGGCAATCATTAAAGTCATCATCAAGACTTGGGAGTAAAAGGGTCTCAACTCTAAAATATGGGGGCAGAATCTCTTCCCATAGTGTCTGCATGGAGTTCTGAAACTGGGAAAAAGCTTGTAAGGGGGCACTGTGTGTGTCTGTGTGTTCATTTGGGACCAGTAAGAGACAAGTTTGTGTTCACTAGTTCCCAAGGTATTTATACTGACCACTATTTACCCAACACTAACCTAGCAGCCTGGAAAGAAGCCCAGGGAGGATGAGGTAGCTCTTTTCCTTTCTGTCTAGAATACTTTGCTTTAAGATATCCAGCCCCTCTGAACCCAGGTGTGGACCCAGAGCTCAGGGTGGGCCAATCACGGTACCCAGCCACAGTGACTGGTCCAGGAAGGCGCATGTGACACAAGACCTTCTCCGGGGTGCTTCCTTAGAAGCCAAAGAAGAGTCTCACCCTTCTCTCGTGTGTCAGGAGCTGTGCGCCTGTGATGTGGAAATGGCTGGTGACCAGGTTCCCAGCCAAGTAAGGGAACCTGGAGGCAGCAAGTTCCAAGCAAAGCCTTCTGGGCTGTCGAGCCCTGATCTGTGTATGAGTTACAGACCACTCTGGGGTTCACTCATGCATGAGGCCCGCTCCACCCTTCTTGAGGTTTGGTTATGAGCGCTAGAATTTCATCCTTTACTGTTTCAGTTAATTCACTTTGCATATCTACCCAGCAGAATGAAAAAAGAAACTGGCGAGTAGACACTTATGGAAAGACAAGGCACAGATGCTGCCCTCAGAGAACTTAGGATTCATATGAAAAGACAGGGACAATTACAGAAGAAAGTAAAAGTTAAAATATACTGAAGGGCTTCCCCGGTGGCCCAGTGGTAACGATTCCACCTGCCAATGAAGGAGATATGCATTCAACCCCTGGTCTGGGAAGATCCCACATGCCACGGAGCAATGAAGCCCATGCGCCACAACTACTGAGCCTGTGAGCCACACATTACCGCGCCCACATGCTGCAACTACTGAGGCCCATGTGCCCTGGAGCCCACGCTCCTCAACAAGAGGATCCGCTGAAATGAGAACAGCCCCCGCTTACTGTAACTAGAGAAAAGCCAAAGGAGCAACAAAGACCCAGCAGAGCCAAAACCAAATTAAACATATATATACATATACTAAAGCATCACATAGTACTTACTTCACATATACCTGCACAGTGAACAATTCTATTCCCAAATGTATGAAGGATGTACTAGAGTGGACAACCTGAGCGGTCTACAACAAAGCCCATTATTCATCTCCCCTTGGGACTCAGAAGTTTCCGGCCTTTGTTTTAAACAATTTCACTTTCTGAAAGACAGTGGAATGGAAAGCACACAGACATCTGAGTGAGATGTAGGAAAAAATCTGGACCTGCCACTCCCAGCTACCTATTCATGTCAATCTGGATGCCTTCATCTGAAAACACCAGCTTGACTCAAAAGGCCTGATACGATACAGAAATGGATTTTTCCAATCTGACAAGTCCAGGGGTGGAGTGACTTTGAGGTTAGTTAACACAAAGGCTTATTCACGTCATCATAGACCCTGGTTCTTCAGCTTCTCCACTTTACTATTTCGGGTCATAAGATGACTGTATTTATTCCAGGCGTCATACCCAGGAAACATCAAATCCAGAGATTCTACAATTGTTAATGTCCCCTTAGGAATTCTAAATCTTTTTCAGGACATCCAAACCCCAACATTAGTTTGAACAGAGTCACATGTCAAACTCCAAATTAATCACTTAAAAAAGGAACAACTTCACCCTGATTGTCTTAGTTAGGACTTACACTTGGAATATGGGCTAGGAATGCCTTCCTCTAAAGCATGTGAGGGTTAGGGGTAAGGGAGTGTGCAATATACTCAACATAATTCAGGCTCTACCAGCAAGGAAGAAGGGGAGATGCAAGCTGAGCTAGCAACTAATAATGTCTGATGGAGTGACACAGGTTTCCTGTAAAGCTTCTGAGCCTTGATTTTCTCATCTATAGAATGGGATTCAAAATATCTATGATAAAGGTTTGTGAGGAATAAATAGAATAGTAACTTGCTTAATATATAGTAAGTTCTCAGTAAGTATTCACTTTCCCCTTTCCCTTCTCATTCAAAATACATGCGTTCAACCACACTTTTTTGAACATTTACTATGCACTAGGTATGAGAGCCTGGTGGGCTGCCATCTATGGGGTCGCACAGAGTCAGATACGACTGAAGCGACTTAGCAGCAGCAGCAGCAGGTATCAGGGACATGGTTGCAAATAAGACAAACACAGTCCCTACTATATTTACATTCTGCAGGAGAGACAAATAAAACAGCAGTTGGTAAGAAAAGTAATTGTGATCATGGTAATGATGAAAGAAGCAGAAGGAGATGTCATGTTCAAGGAATCTTTTGATACTTTCTTTTTAATTTAGAGGGGGAAGATAAAAAACTAGTATCTCACTTCTCCTGAGCATCAAATTTAAAGGGAAACATTCACCATACACTGATCTTTGCTCCTTTAGGCTCAGCTGATTTTTCCAAAAGTGAAAGACTATTCCAGTTATACTTTCCAATCTTAATTCTGCAGTGGTAACTTAAATTTTTGTATACTTCCATCACATAGATTTTTTAAAAATCTCTCTGCTTATCTATGGTTAAAAGAATAAAAATGATTTCCTCAAGGAAAGTTCAACCAATGGTAACAGCCACAGTTGCACCACAAGGCATACGCATAGCTTTTAACATTTTTTTAAATTAGGGCAGGACATTAAATCTAAATGTATTTCGAAATTTTTATAAGTTTTGTACTGTCACAAAAGCACTACCTCACATTCACAAATTATGTAATTCAGAGGTTCCTCGATTTGGCTGTGTATCACAGCACCACAGAAAACTTATTAAAAATATAAATACCCTCAATCTTCATTATTTGTGGATTCTATATTTGCAAATTCACATACTAACTAAAATGCATTAATGATCCCCAAAGCATCACTCATGGCACTTTTATGACCACTTGCCAACAAATACAAAGAGGTAAAAAAGCTCAGTCATCCTATATGCACCTTCCTGGCTGAGGTAGAAAAAGGCAAGTTTCTGTTTTCTCGTTTAGGCTTTCGTACTTTTTCCACACACTTTCTGAAAAATTAGATAGTCCTTTCTGCAGTCTAATTAGTGGCCTGATTTTTGCATTTTTGTGCTTTTTGTTCAGCACCACCTCCCTTCCCTCAACCTGTGCAGTCCCTCCAGCAAGACTGAAATGTTGTCTAGCATTCCTTAGCTCCAGAAGGCTGTGAGAGGACCTTGGTTCAGGTACAAGTGCTGTTGGCCATGAGTTCAATATTAATGAATCAACATCCAAAATAGGAAGAGGAAATGTGCTTATCTCTGTGTAAGGCCACTCGGGAAAGTGCTAAAGTAACACCTGTAGTGCATAATGAAGCTATGGGAAAGATGGAGAAGTAGCTAAATTTGTGGGTTCATGATACAACAATAGTTTTGTTTTGTTTAAGCAGAGTGGGTAGCATAACTGTGAGGGTGAAAGCCAAAGAAATTTGTGGTCATGTTACCCAGAGTCAAGAAATTCTAAACCCTACAAAAATAAATAAGATACAGGATATATTGTACAACATAGGATATGGAGCCAATTTTATAATAACTACAAATGGAGTATGAAAGGGTGAAAGTGAAAGCTGCTTAGTCATGTCCAGCTCTTTGTGACCCCATGGACTATACAGTCCATGGAATTCTCCAGGCCAGAATACTGGAGTGGGGAGCCTTTTCCTTCTCTAGGGGATCTTCCCAACCCAGGGATCAAACCCAGGTCTCCCGCATTACAGGCGGATTCTTTACCAGCTGAGCCACAAGGGAAGCCCAAAAAACAGTCATCCAAGCTACTTTCTTTCTAGCCTGTCATGGGAGGCCACAACAGTCTTTTTGTGAATGCAGGTCAAGTAGCTGACAATCAGGGCCTAATGACACAGAAAAAAAAGTTATCTTTTTTTTAAAAAAATTGAGGTATAGTCTATTACACAAGTTTCAGGCGTGCAACAATTTGTATACTAGACTATACCTCAATTTTTTTTAAAAAAAGATAACTTCTGTCCTTGTGTCATTAGGCCCTGATTGCCAGCTTCTTGATCTGCATTCACAAAAAGACTGTTGTGGCCTCCCATGACAGGCTAGGAAGGAAGTAGCTTGGACACCTAATTTTTTTTTTTTTCCCCCAAACACTGGCTGATTACTAAGAGAAATCACATCTACCTATTGAGACACCCTCCACCCATCTATCCACCTTCTCATCCACCAAATGCAAGCATCAAATGGGCAGCATCCATGAATATTTGTCCACTAGAGTGACTCTAATAACTACTCCGTGATTTTTCACATAATAGTAACTCTTTCCAAGTTGTGAGGGGAACTGAATTCTTCCTGTAAATCAGTGGTTCTCACAACAATGGCGATTTTGTCCAGGGGACATTTGGCAAATCTAGAGCCATTTCAGTTGCTACTGGCATCTAGAGCATAGGGGACAGGGATGCTGCTAAACATCATACAATGCACAGAACAGACTCCATCCCCAAAATAAAGAATGACCTGGCCCCAAATGTCAATCATGCCCAGGCTGAGGCAAATCTGCTTACAAGCATGGATGTAATAGTCACAGTAGGCAATTTCTCACCCTTGGACACTGCACTCCTGCCATATTTTACTGTTGAAATGACACAGCAGTTTTGAGTCACATTACCCCCCAACAGCATGCCTACCACGCAGTGTGTGTTAGCCACTCAGTCGTGTCTGACTCTTTGTGACGCCCACTATGCTCCTCTGACCATGGAATTCTCCAGGCAAGAATACTAGGGTGGGGTGCCATTTCCTTCTCCAGGGGATCTTTCCAACCCAGGGATCAAACCTGGGTCTCCTGCATTGCAGGCAGATTCTTTACCGTCTGAGTCACCACTATGCAGTAGTTGTGTGGAAAGATGCCTGGGGAAGGCGTTTCTCTCTCTTGTGTTACTGGTTTATTGTTACTCATCCTAAGCCAAGAAGCCATGTGTATTTTTCTCCCCAAGTTTTCAGACATCTATCTTTCCCATCTGCACTACCCATCCCTATTTCCTTCTTTGCATATCACACAAAGTGCAGTCCAGCATCATAGGAAACAGGTGTACCCTGACCCTGTTTGTGAGTTTCCACAAAGGGTCTGGGGTGAGGGGAAGCACATCCAGGGGCCCATGACCATGTCCTATGCCTTCACCTCCCTCCTCTTCCTCTCGGGAATGAAAGGAACCTTGACCTGCCTGAGATGCAGACTCTGTGATAACACACGAGATCAGACCTGCTTTCCAGCTATTTCAGTCACATGCTCAGGCAGTGAGCAAAGAACAACAGATTACTAAAGACTGTACTCCCTGAACAGAAATACTTGCGGGCAGGGCAGAATACTTGAACTCAGGTGCAGCATTTCATTTTCAGTAAGGTTTTGTTTCACAATGAATATGGGATCTTCCTGGACCAGGCATTGAACTGGTATCTCCTGCATTGGCAGGCAAATTCTTTACCGCTGAGCCACCAGAGAAGTCCCCAAATAGACTATTTTTTAAGAGTAAGTTTTAAGTTCACAGCAAAATTGAGTGGAAAGGGCAGAGTTTTCCTGTTTCCTGCCCCCTCGTTACACCCCCATCCTTCCCTACTATCAACGCCCCAAACCAGAGTGGTTGATTTGTTATAACAGATGAACCTACCTTGACATATCATCTTCACCCAAAATCCATAGTTTGTATTACGGTTCCCTTTCAGTATTGTCCATTGTGTGGATTTTGACAAGTGTATAATGACAGGTATCCACCATTTCAGTGTCATGCAGAAAACAGTTTCACTGCTGTAACAATCCTCTGTGCTCTGCCTGTTTACTCCTCCCCTCCCCATCCCTAACAACCATTGTATTTTTTTTTTTACAGTCTCCATATTTTTGCTTAATCATTCAGGATATAACTTTTTCAGATTGGTTTCTTTAACTTGGAAATGGGGGGGGGGGGCAAAAAACCCCAGATGAGACCTATTCAAAGAGACATAAAATAGTATCACGTGTTCAGAAAACCAAGGCTTCCCAGGTGGTACAGTGGTAAAGAACTCGCCTACCAACGAAAGAGAGGCAAGAGATACGGGTTCAATCCCTGGGTCAGGAAGGTCCCCTGAAGTAGGAAATAGCAACTCATTCCAGTATTCCTGCCTGGAAAATTCCACGGAGAGGAGTCTGGCAGGCTGCAGTCCATGGGGTCACAAAGTCAGACACAACTGACCGACTGAGCACACAGGCGTGTTCAGAAACCACATGTGATCCAAACAGAGCATCATGTACAAAGAGGAGGACTGGAGAGGTACCCAGAGGCCAGATCAGGAAGGGGCTTGTGTCATTTGAAGAAATCAGGACTTATCTTTTAGGCAACAGGAAGTCATCGAAAGGTTTAAGAAAGAATGTGAAATTACCAAATTTTCACTTCTGACAAATCGCTCTGATGGTGGAGGTGATGTGTGACTTGGTCAAGTAACTTGACCTCTCTGAGCTACTTTATTCCTACATTTGTAGAATGTGGACAATTGCGTGCACACCGTAAGACTGTTGTGAGGATTAAATGTGCTAATACATTTTGTTATTATTATTGTTGTTGTTATTGCTGCTGTTATCAGAAGACTGAGAGGTCAGAGGGAAGGCAGTGAGAAGCAAATTCATCTGTTCCCACATGGTCTTCATCAACACAACATTATTATTCCAGAAAACACTTGTCCTGAAAGGTAGAAGTGGCCAATAGTTTCATTTTTCACTGCAGGAACATCCTCTAAGACCAGTGAATTTTGCAATAAGTAAAAAGCATCAAATGATGGTTTATACCCCAGGACTGTTTGAACCCTTTGCCTCAAAATTGTCACCTTCGCTGCTTCCTCCAATCCTACACTACTCTTCACTGTCATTATCCAAGACCCCACATCATCAGACCCACCAAGCAGAATTCAAAACCTCTGAAATAGCCGGGCTAAGCCCTCTTCCCTCTAGATGCTACCAGGAGCCTGGAGATGGAGCCTTCCTTCACTGGCCATCGGTAAGAGGCTCTGCTCTGTCTTATGACCAGATTGTTGGTGACATTTTCAGGAAGCCAGCATTCAAGAACAGGCAGCCTGGCAAGTAGCAATGCTGCAGGTGAGGGAGGAAGAGAGACTGATGATGACAAGAGAGGAGTGACTGAGTGAAGCATTATCGAGAAACCTTAGAGATAGGCTGTGGGGAGAGAGGACACTTCAGGATGAAAATTGAGTAACTGGGTAGATAGATCATAGAAGACTTTCTCAAGTAGAGCCCACACAGTTTGGCGGGTATGATCTGGTATGTGCATTGACACCTATCAGAATCAGTTTTGTCGGGCTTATTCTGATTTCTACCCATTCAACAAGATGTAACCCCAAAGACCCCATCAGCAGTGGGAATGCCTGGATGCAAATAGTTTGGCTGAGGCTTCTCGGGTTCCATAAATGAACATCATCTCCATGCTCCGCTCGGATAGAATTCTCTCCTCAATGAGAAACTCCACCTCTATGTGGCTGGGCCTGCTTTGGGCCCTCTCTTCTTTCTTGTGCCTGCCTACAGGCTCTCTCATGTGCGGATGTGAGAGCTGGACCATAGAGAAGGCAGAGCGCTGAAGAATTGATGCTTTCTAATTTTGGTGTTGGAGAAGACTCTTGAGAGTCCCTTGGACAGTAAGATGATCAAACTTATCAACTGATCAAACAGCAAAGTCAATCTTAAAGGAAATCAAGCCTGAATATTCACTGGGAGGACTGATGCTGAAGCTGAAGCTCCAGTACTTTGGCAACCTGATGTGAAAAGACCCTGAGGCTGGGAACGATTGAAGTCAGAAGGAGAAGGCGGCGACAGAGGATGAGATGGTTGGATGGCATCACCAATTCAATGGACATGAACTTGGGCAAACTCCGGGTATTGGTGATGGACAAGTAAGCCTGGCATGCTGCAGTCCATGGGATCATGAAGAGTCGGACTCGACTAAATGACTGAAGAACAAAGACCAATTTCTAAATTGCTAATGCTCAGAAAACATAAAATCCATTCTCACTGATGTAGATTTTCTTGAAAATTTGGGTGGAAAGACAAAGGAAGGGTGAACAACTCCTCCTGGTGTTAGCAATGGAGGTCTGAGGTCCCAAGAACCTCCTCCTCCCCCACCATCCCCTACCTGGGCAGAACAGGATGACGGATCACCTGCCCATCAAGGAAAAGGTGAAGGCTCCCTTCGCAATCTCCCTCTGCCCTCAAGTTCCTCTCAGTAGGCTGAACCCACTACCCTGCCCCCCAGTAGGCCTTTCTGGTCTTTCCAGCTGATAACTCCTCTTCTCACATTCCTTAGCAAAATCCGTGCATTTACATAATTCCCTCAGCAACACAAAAGCAAGCAAATAGGGCTCAGCCAAACAAAAATTCTCTCACCTTCCCCAGGCCACCCTTCTTTCTTTGTCTGAAGGTATACTTATTAGAGAAACAACGCTGACTACAGGAAAAGTATACTTAGATGAAGACTAGTCTCTGGAAACTGGAAGTTGGCGCTTGTCATATTATTTTATGCCCAAATATTTCCCTGTCCAACCTCCCACGCCTTCAAGTGTTAAGATTGATGGCACTTGTTAAAACTGTTCCCCTTTGCGGCTCAAGACTCCTCTCTCCCACCTTTTCTTCTACCTGTTAGACTATAAGGCTCAGATTTCTGGCCCATCTCTCCCTTTCAGTCGCCATTATCAAAATGAAGTTCACTATGCTCCTCTGCTCCTGATCTCAGGAAGCCTTGGTCTGCAATAGTTTGGAGCAGGGCTTGGGTTCCCAGCCAGAGGATGGGCTGGGTCATAGCGGTGAAAGCGCCAGATCCTAGCCACTAGACAAGTGGTCAGTCACAAGGGCTCTGGCCCTTCAGCTTTGCAGAAAAGAATTTCCACAAAGACAGAAAGTAGTGAAGGTAGTAAAGCATTTAAGACGAAAGACAACAGTATGTGTAGATAGGCACATGAGCTGACTCAGAGGGAGAGTCCTTGAGTCACACCCTTGTGACCGTTTGAATTACTTTTAGGGAGTATTTCTTCTGGGTTTCATTTGGCCAGCCATTTTGATTTGCCTGGTTCACAGTCTACATTTGATATATCTCAGGTTCCTCCCATGTGTGCGTACACATCTCTTAGCCAGGATGGAACCTACTGCAAAGGGATCTGGGTAGAGCATCCCTTGACATTGCTCCCCCTTTGGCCTGCAAGGAACCTGTTCTGTGCATGTGTGGTTGGGGAGGTCTCCTGAACAAAAATGTGTGGTTGTGGCAGGGCCCAAACTCCTCCCTCAATTGTCCTGCTATTCTTGACTCAGTTTCGGTCAATAAAGAATGACTCTCCAATTACTTTACCCTGGAGGGGTGGGGGGGTGTGGAGGGGGGGCATCTACCTCCTGCCTCAGTCCCACACACTCTTTTGGGAATAATTTCAGCAAGAGTCAAGGGTTCTTTCTTTTTGTTTCCATCCTTGGCATTTCTTTTTTAAAGTGCTACACTCAGAGCAACACAGAGTCTGGGGAATGGATGAGATAGTTGAGACAGAAAGGAGATGAACAGATCAGAAGAAAATCTTTTTTTTTTTTTTTAAAGATGTGCCATTTGTTACAGATTCACATACTTCTTTACCCTCTTTCTAAATTGGGCCAATAGTAGCTTCCAAGGTTGTTGTGAAGTAAGAAATATTAAAAAGTGCTTAGAACATGCAGAAAAGAAATGCTCAACAAATATTAGCTGTTGTCATTATTCTCTCAATGGGCTTCAAGGAACATATTTGAAGGGGCATTTTCCTTTAGAAAGAGAGGTAGGGAAAGTTTCCCCAAGGGAAAACATGTCTCCTTTGAATAAAATTAAATGAAGGAATTCTGACTGGGCCAGCAAGAGTTTACTAGTAAGTTTGACAAAGAAAGTAAACTGTAAATAGCCAGTAAGTAATGTTTAAGCTCTTGATTAACTCTGCAGAAGTAAATCTTAAAAAAAAAAAAAATTGTGTGTTTTTTAAAGAAAGCATTGGTTTTTGTTTTTAGCTAATCTTAAAGGTAGTGAAGCCTTCACATGAAATGCATGAAAACTATGGAGTTAAACAAGATCCTCCTTCTGTACCAAGATTGCTCATCCAAGGGACTCCCACGCGACCCATCTGAATTTTTTCCTGTCCTGCTGAAGAACATTTGTTTTGCATTGGTATGCAGCTAAAGGAACCAAACTGTCCTTAGCTGGTAAGCAATTAACACTTAACTGGGATCAGAAAATGAAATCCCATCTATAGAGCACCTGGGATCCTGAAGCCAGGTTGACAGTCC